CTGGCCGGCCCTGGCGATGGCGGACGCGGCGGCCTCCCCGGTGGGCAAGCGGCTGCTGCTTCTGTTCGCGGATACCGCGGCCTCCTCCTCGGCCTCGGTCCCCGCGGCGGCGGCGGCGGCGGCGGGCGGAGATCCGGGGCCTGCGCTGCGCACTCGGGCCTGGCGGGCCGGCACGGTGCGGGCCATGAGCGGGGCGGTGCCCCAGGACCTAGCGGTGAGTGGCGGCCGAGGCGGGCACTTGAGGCCGGGGCTGCGGGGCCTGCGGGCGGCCTCCCCGGGGGCCTTTGTGAGGGGGCGGTGGGGTGGGGGTGACCCCGTTCCGCGCCCCCAGATCTCCTTAGCGCCCCCCACTGGCTCCTCAGCACCCCGAGCTCTGGCCGGCATGGCTTCCGCGTCGGGGTGCGCGCCCCGGTTTCCCCCGGGGGGCAGCCAGGGCGCCAGGAGCTGCCGCTTCCACCCGGGAGGCCCCGCCTCCTGAGAGACCCCTTTCTCAGCGTCCCTCCCCCAACACGCCTTGGGAGCAGGCTCCCGAACCCTGGGTTCCTGGGCCCCTCAGAGTTCGGCTGGTGCTGTCGCTGCCTCCTGAAAGACGCGGACCTGTAGTTCCCAGCCTCCCTGGAAACCTGCGCCCTGCTCCCTTCCTCCCGGAGCCCCGAGTGGGGCGGGAATGTGGGCAATTGTGGGAGGCACAGAGGCTGCAGTTGGAGCTGGTCGGGGCTTTTTTATCTGGCAGTTACTTCCTCCTTGTCTGAGCCCGGCTCGGCCTGGCGGTCTCCAGAAAGGCCAGCTCTCGGGACTCTCTTCGGGCTCCTTTCTCTTTGAGCTTCTGGGTGACAGGAGCTGCAGTTGTGGCTGTTTTTGCTAAGTTTGAGATGTGTCTTAGCGGGCTAATGGGGCTGCTGCTAGGTGGTGCTTTTTTGCTCCCAGCTCGGCTACTCCCTCAACCCTGGGAGAGGTTTTGTTTTGAAACTTTGTGTTGGAGCTTGGGCGCTTTTGGAATACTTGCCTTGGTATATTTTGTGATTAAAGTTGTTCGGTAAAATAGAACTTAACTACTATTTGGGATCATGTTGTGTTATTTTTGTTAATGTGGCGGCAAAATACTGTCTTTGAGCTTTGCAAGCCTCTTTAGTTCCTCATTCTGATAGCGGCCCTAGCTTCTCTGTTAAGATACTATGAAAATAGGGAGATTCTTTTGGAATGTAATACATCAGCAGGCAGAAGGCAAATTTTCGTGATGAACTTGCTCCTGCAGATATTTTATTTGCTATAAATTGAAATGATTTTTTCGGATTTGATATTGTAGGTTTCTGATACTCATTTTTCTATCTATTGATTGGTGGTGTAAGCTTTTCCCCCCTCCCCCTTATCAGGCTTTATGGGTTGTTTGGCTTGCGGTTGGCTTAGCCTTTGCTTCTGCTATTTGAGTTCACATTCTTTGATCTTTCTCCATGCTAAATAAGAAAAGGCTGCTTGGGCATTTATGAGGCTTCAGTGGGGCGAATTTGTAAAAAGATACCAGGAATACAAGGGGACGAGGATGATGATTAAGGAGGGGATTTGGATTTAAATTCTTCTGTGCTTTCTTCAAAAGACTGCTTTCTAGGTTGGGGTGGGGGAGAGGTGTCTCTCTCAGAGCCCATAATTTACCCCCAAAATGCAAAACATAATGAAGGTCCATCATTATATGCATACTTTGACCTAAGGCCTAGCCTGCCCTAGCTTTTCAGTCGGAATTTTATATTCTAGTTGTTTCCTCCATCAGATGAATTGCTAATGAGCTCTGCACCTGAAATGGCTACCCATTCACTTTGTTGTTTGCTGGGCTCCCTAAGGGCAGAGGTTTTTGAAGCTCACTGAAATGCTGGACACCTACTAAGCTAAATACTGAATAATTTTACCACTGGGCTCATTGAATTGGTTTCTCAGACCAAGTAAAAAGTTGCAGTGATTCTTGGAAATTAAAGCCAAGCGTACATTAGAACTGTGTTGAGGTCTTGCATGGAGCTGTATACATAAAAAGCAAAGGCGGATTAGGGTTTTGAGAATAAACAAGCTTGTCCTGTATGTTTATCAAGGGACATAGATGAGAAACAACCACAACAAAACTCAGAGCCTTTAGAATTTTTCACCAGTTTGCAAAATTGCTCAAGAATTGCAGTTGCTATGTTGAGGTTCTATTAATGACAATGACTAGTCTAGGATGAGAACTGGCCGTTTGTTTTTCTTTTTCATTAAAGAGATTTCCTTTGGACCCTAGACATGTGGGCCTTACCAATTTGCACCACACACCGTAGTAAACACAACCGCCTTCCAATCAAAAGTGTTCTTCCTGTATTCAAGGGTGGAGTTTTCAAGCAGCTGGCCTGTGATTGGGCAGATTTTCATTCAGTTGGTTTAAGATGTTTTCAGGCATGCTTGGTTTTGAGTAATGCATAGCAGGGCGCCCCCTGTTAAGGATGAGTAATTGAGGGTTGGATGAATGAGTTTTTGAAGTGATTGAAAACACTTCTCAGTTTTAGGCTCCATTAATACCCTCTTTCTAAATACTTTTTAATCCTGAATGTTTCAAAATGTAGCCCTGCTCCATTTAATGAACCCTTTTCTGGAAAACAATACCAAAGCCATGTACTACCTTAAAATGAGATATGAAAAAAGAAAAGTCAGGATCCTGTTGATTGGGAGTTTTGTTGATAAGGGTTTGATAGTGGGCATCTTCATCAAAGCTATGCTAACAAATAACTACTGAGATTTTTAGATGTAATAGGGAAAAAACCTCCCCGCCCCCCATGGAATAGTAGCTTTATTTGTATTTCTAAATAGGCTTGTTTAAAAAAAAAGTCTTGTTGAAAGATTACTTTAATGGATTTTTATGCATTTCTTTCTGACTCTTAAGTCTGTCCTCTTTGTGTTCTAAATCATTATTGGTTCATATGAGTTGCAGAGACCTTGGGACCTTCATATATGTAGGGACAGTAGGTAAGACACACAGACCAAAAAAAACATGGGTTTTCCTTCCCTTTTTTTGTTTTTGTTTTTTTTTTTTATTGCTAAAAAGCAAGACTTCTGTTTTGTGAAATGTCAAATAACCAAAAGTACACAGGAAAAGCCAACAATCTTTCACAGGCCTCCACTTGCAAAAGAAGGCTTTGCTCATCTTTCTTAATACTAGTACAAAAAATGTAAAAACATTCATCTATATACAAAGGGTTGCCTTTTTCTTAATCACATGTATCACACTGCACAATATCTGCAGCCTGCTCCCCCCCCTTATTAAGTAAGGACTCTGTTTTTTTAAGATTTTATTTTTAAGTAATCTCTATACCCAACCTGGGGCTCAAACTTAGAACCCCGAGATCAAGAGTTGCAGGCTCTACCCACTGAGCCAGCCAGCTGCCCCTCTCTTTATTTCCATTCAGCATTATACCATGGGCATCGATACCTATAGATCTTATTCATCCTTTTAGGTAACTACATTGTATTTCATAGAATGGATGTACCATCATTTGTTCAATCATTCCTCCTTATGCTGTTAAAGTTATTGAAAAAAATTTTTGGTACTACAAATAATGCTGTGGTTAATAAACCTGGGCATATATCTTGTGTAATCATGGTTTTATTTCTGTAGTTTAGACATTCAGGAGTGGGTTAGGAGCTACAGGAGTATATGCATCTTTTATTTTATTAGGTAATGCCAGGTTGTTTTCCAGTGAGGTGATAGCATTTCATACTCCCACCAGCAGTGCGTGCATGCGGTGCTTTCCCTTTTTACCTTTGCCATCATGGTGTCATTGGTCTTTGTCATTTTTGGCAATCCAATGGGTGAAAAATAATATAGCATTTTCATGACTGCTGGCTTTTTTTCTGTGTTTATTGGCTCTTTGTATTTTTTTAATGAGTTTTATGCCTATCTTTTGCCCATTTGAAAAAAGGAGTTGTCTTATCACTCTGTACAAGTTCTGTGCATTTTCAGGATATAAACCCTTTTACTTCACAAGTGTGTTGCAGTTATTTTCTCTTGTCTTTTGACTTGATGAGTTGTTTTGCCATATAGAAAAACAAAAATGTTTATATCATCAGATCTCTTGGACTTTTCCTCATGGCTTCTGGGTTGCTTGGGGATAGCTCCCCTGTCTTGAGCCTATATAAATGTTGTTCAGTTTTTCTTTATTTTTACCTTGAGATCTTTGATCCACCTGGAATATTTTTGCAAACGGCATGTGAGGTGGGGGATCTAACTTGCTTCCTACTGAGTGATCACTGGTGGCAGCACCAATTTTATTAAGTAAACTGCCCTTTTCTTGCTGTTTCTTATAATTAAATGATGCCTTTAGTAGCATTGATTTGTTTTGAATGTGTATCGTAGCTATCACAGCTATCCAGAACTTGGAAGAGGAGTGAAAGCATATCTGCCTTATTTTTTTTTATCCCTTGATCTTTCATCTTTATCTGGCGGAAAGGTGGACTCTAAAGTGCTCCTTTCCTTTGATTCCAGATAATGTAATAATTGTAGCAGTGTCCAGGCTAGTACCATGTTTCTTCTGTCTGGGAGTCTTCCAAGAGGAATGAAAGCATATCTGTATCTGTCTTATTTTTTTTTCGTCCTCCTCCCACCTTTCCTCCTTGTCTCAGGTTAGGTGGACTTTAAAATACCTCCCTACTTTGTTTGTAGGTAATGTAATGATTATAATCAGGTCCAGGACAGTACCATATTTCCAGTCCACAATCTCAACCTGTGTTCACACAAACCTAGAACTTCAGTCCTAATCGAAATGGGAGTTTATGGATTTTAATGACTATCCTTAAGTGTCCTTTTCTTATAATTCCAGAAGTTCAATAAAAATCTGCATGATACATGATACGCGGTTTATTAAAGTAAATAGAATATGGTTTTGTGGATCGATGTAAGGTTTAGAGAACTTTAAATAAAAGTGAGATTGTACAAATATGTAATGTTTAAGTGTGAGCCCCTCTAACCGCACTTTTCATTTTAATTCTCTTAGAGCAGGAAGTCTGTTTTTGAGACAGTGAGCCATCCTTGAGTTTTTCAGGCACTCAGGTGCTTCATATTCTTTTTTTTTTTAAGTTTGTCTTGTATGTATGTGTATAATTGTTAATAGTTGCCTCTTTGTGTTTGCACTGTTTGTTTTAGAGCTGTGTGGTATATCCACCAGTGATCACATACACTGGTCATTTTGTCCATCCAGCATCCTC